AGAGACATCCTAATCTAAAAGAGAAGTTGAAGATACAATGGATGATGCAATTCTAGAACTGCCATTTGGTTTGCTATATCAAAAAAAAATGTTGGGATGTTTGTAGCTATTTTTGATCTTCTTCTCATGGATATCGGGATCGTAAATACCCCANTATGTCAACTTGATCACAACAAATTTTATAAATTTGACAAACACACGACTAATTAAACTCATCAAATNTTAAGGTTAGAGGTTCAAGTTTTAAAGTTTACATTAGAATTTGGTAGTTAACCGATATGCTAACCTAATTAGGTTCATTCCTGATAGAAGTAACGGGTGTGATCAATGGTCTCATGATCCCATCGGTGAAAAATTATCGGGGTAGTCTCTGGCCAATTTCCTTTGCCCTCACCTTTTTTACTCTGATAAAATAAAAAAAACAAAACAAAACAAGTGAAGGAATTTGAGATAATAAATGATCTTATAATTTTGATTAATAAAGAGTTAGCATTTAAAAATTATAAACTCTTTTTTATATGAATGAAGTAAAATTAGGGTTACACTTCTAATGAATTTTCACTCAATTGGGTGTTCTCAATGATGATTNTAAAGGTTAGAGGTTCAAGTTTTAAAGTTTACATTAGAATTTGGTAGTTAACCGATATGCTAATCTAATTAGGTTCATTCCTGATAGAAGTAACGGGTGTGATCAATGGTCTCATGATTCCATCGGTGAAAAATTATCGGGGTAGTCTCTGGGCAATTTCCTTTGCCCTCACCTTTTTTACTCTGATAAAATAAAAAAAAACAAAACAAAACAAGTGAAGGAATTTGAGATAATAAATGATCTTATAATTTTGATTAATAAAGAGTTAGCATTTAAAAATTATAAACTCTTTTTTATATGAATGAAGTAAAATTAGGGTTACACTTCTAATGAATTTTCACTCAATTGGGTGTTCTCAATGATGATTTTATCGATAAATAAAGTCTTATTTATACTTGAAAAACTGTCAACTAGTTGTTACCGGTCACCAAATTAGTCTCTATGACCACCAATATTTATTCAACTCCTTACAGTTAAAATAGGTTAAAATATTCCGAATATGATTTAACCACCTTAATCTAGCCTTTCACTATTTGATAAGTCCCTCTAACAAAGACACTCATTCAGACTATAAAATATCTAATTCAAAGATCAAAACATATCAATGCAGTAATATGTATGAATGCACTAATAAAAAATAAATTTTAATGCATAATATTGTAAAAAATACATTTATGTTATATGACATAAATAATAAATATTTAACCAACAAATTAAAATTTTATTTATTCCAAATTTGACCACCAACTATGACTTAACTAACATCAAATAATTTTAACCACATATATTCCAGCAACAGAAAACACATCTTTAAATGCCGGTATCTAATGGACCACGTGAAATTCAATTACCATAGTAAACACAGTTTTTCGGTGAATTCTCTTTTTTTCCAATTGTTTTTTTTTTGAATATTGGGGTCAATATTGATGATTAGCATTTTGTGTGCTATATTACTTTCNCATTTTTTCCAAATGTTTTTTTTTTTGAATATTGGGGTCAATATTGATGATTAGCATTTTGTGTGCTATATTNCTTTTTTTCCAATTGTTTTTTTTTTGAATATTGGGGTCAATATTGATGATTAGCATTTTGTGTGCTATATTACTTTCAAGTGTAATTTTTTTTAACATAGTACATTCAAATACAAGTAATAATTAATATATATATATGTCGACTCGATCACAACAAATTTTATAAATTTGACAAACACACGACTAATTAAACTCATCAAATTAAGCTTAAAGCTGCATATATCTTATTTTTTGCTATTAGATTGATAATTGACCTTACTATTAGTTAGAATTTATTATCAATTTAATGGTTATGATTCATCACGTTACCAAATACGATTAGTAAATTAGATAAAAAAAATATTTCCCTTAATAAAAATGATTAAAAGCGGGCCGAACAGCATGATTCATGGATTCCCTGGGCCTTCCTGGCCCATTCTCACTCACGTGATGTGTATTGTGTAGTGCTAAAAGGAACATTTTAGGTTTTTCCACCACCCTCCCACTCCCTCCCGCCAGAGAACTCTCTTTTTCAGCCCTTCATTTTCCCTCCCAAAACAAACCCTAGTCATTACCGCAATGCGCACGGTCGTTGAGCGCAAATGATCTACGGCAAATTGTTAGACAAGAGGTGATGCATGACAACCAAGCTCTGGTCCACACAAGGAGCTTAGTAGACTCAGTAGGCTTAGCGTTGTAGTTAACTTAGTAGTCGTTTTTTTTTCCTTTATATTCTCTGCTTTGCATCTACTTTTCTTCAACCAGAAAAAAAAACCCTAGTCATTAGGTCGATTTCAGCAACCACTCGATTTCTTTGGGTTTACAATCACTCCAGTCATGCACGCACCAGTACTCGTTCTCAGTAAGTACAACTAATTTTAATTTTTTTTCCCGGTGTCTTTCAGCTTTCTTCACACTGTTGAGTTAATCGCTTATTTTGCGTGAACAATTTGTGTTCTGATCTGATAGAGGTGTTGGAATATGCGCGATGAAGTTTGTTGGGTTAAAAATGTTAGAAAAAATTTGTTCATTTTGTTCGAAATTTAAGATCAAAGGTTTCAATTCTCTTTTGGGGGAAGTTTTATAGATTAAAATGATTTTGAACCCATAAATGTTAGACTAAAATTCAGCAGACCTACTACTTTTAACAGTATACCCTGAAACCCTTTATTGGGAGCGGTAAAGTTCAGCTTTCACCATGAGATCTAATTCTTGATTTTGTACTGACGCGCCCACTGCCCACACACATATTGTATGTGTGAATGTATCTATATAAATGAGTATGTGTTTATATATGGACAGTGTATACTCATATTTTTATGATATATGTTCATTCTCATGCTGCATGGAATTGGTGCCTTGATGTTGGAGTTGGTAAACATAGTTCATAATTTGTGCTAATCCTGCCCTGATTCCAATTTCAAGATTTAAATCCAAAACTAGTGATTTTTTTGGAGATTAAGGGCATATAAATTTGTGGACTAATAGAGAATGAGAATATAGTGAAGTTCGTAATGGTCAGGAGTGGAAATTTTTTGGTTACAATGGCAAAAGGCACGAAATAAATTGTGTTGTGTTTATAAGTTAGTAGCTACAGGAGTATGCATTTGTTAGATGGAAGAATTGAAATGTGGATATTTAGATTGTTGACTGGCAAAATGAGAAAGTATAGGTGCATGAATAATTGGACTGGAGAGAAGTTGGAGGTACTAATTAATTCGGTGTGCATTGTAAACCAAAGGACAGCATGAATGCAAGAGGAAAATGCTTTGAGGCCAAGAAGGGAACTGTTCGAATTTAAGTTGAATGGTGCCTATTTTAGCATCACACATTGTTTAGAAGGGAGTGGGGGTGACAAATAGAGGATTCATCTAGCTGATGCAAATCACTTGCCCTAGCCTATGTCATAGTGAGCTAATTATGGTGTTTCTAAATGAAAGGGGTTCCTTAAATGCCCTTCATGAAAAGGAATATCATATCTGTCGCACTATGCTATCCTATTTTATTGAACTTCTACAATTTTCGTGCTGGATGTCATTTAATCTTCAAATGCCTCTTTAGATTTGAGATCTTATGTAGTAGCACTAGTACAAGAATAATTCTTAAGTTTTATCTATATGGTGGGTGGAAACATAAAAAAGCAAGTCAAATATGGAAATTAGAAATTGAAAAGGTTACAAGTGTAAACAAGTGATAAGAAGATGCTCATCAGTGGCGGTCTCAAACAATTTAGATGATTTGGGATTAGAGTTAGGTTCGAAGACTAGGATGCCAATTTGTAAGTGTTGGTGTTTGATTTCGAGAGTTCATATGAACCAATGATTGTATATTTATCTTGGTTGTGGTTAATACAATGGTTTAATTATTTGCTTTGATTCTTTATGATTCATGGAAATTGAAAATGCCCCTTTTTCCTAGGAAAAAGGAAAATTTTGTTCATATTCAATATTTTTGTTGATAGAATATTATTTCAGAAGTGCTTCTCTCTCCAATCATTCCACACCCAAAAAAAGGCGCCAACTTGCTTGTATTTGCAGAAAGAGATCCATGTTTACACAAGGTTGCAACTATGGATCTTAGGTTAGTGGTCTAGGAAATGAAGAGATGAATCAACTTTAATAGGTATAAGACTTGCCAGTGTAATAGAAAGTATTTCAGATCGTTATTAAGTAATATCAGTTCTCCAACTGATTGAATGTGAAGATGAATGTCCAAGTGACAATATGAGAGTGTCCGCTTTCTTTTCTTGTTTATGATTAAAAAAGGGTGAGATAAATATGTGGGTGCCTAAATGAGGGCATGAATAATGATGTGGAGACATGTTTCCCTGAGTGTTGTTTGATAAACGATTATTGGATGACTTGAAAGGATAATTCCGTGGCATAATTAGTAAAATAAATTATATGTTGTGTAAAAGAATGCAATCCTGTTAAGAAACAACATGCAGATGACATGTGTAGGAATGAGATGAAGAGGTGAGCATGTTCAGTTGGATTTTTGGAAACACTAAGTAGAGAAATTATCTAAATGAAGGTTTTAGAAACTAGGATTCAACAGACTGTTGACAGGAGGTAATCAAGTTTACCTGTTTTCATCTTTCCATTAGTCATGATGCTGTTGAATGACTTTGACACTCAACGTGGATAATCATAATGTGTGATTGCCTTTTTTGATGGGATGAATGGGTGTTGAATAGTGTAGCCTTTCTATATTTTGCATGTTTTCCAATGTTGCATTTAGTTTACTGGAATCAAAGAGAATAGAGAACTACAATCATAATTTACGAAGCAAAGACACTTCTAAAAAGGTGATGTGCCCGTGTTGGACACCGATAGGTTTTAGAAACACTTCGGACATTTCAAGAAGAGACATCCTAATCTAAAAGAGAAGTTGAAGATACAATGGATGATGCAATTCTAGAACTGCCATTTGGTTTGCTATATCAAAAAAAAATGTTGGGATGTTTGTAGCTATTTTTGATCTTCTTCTCATGGATATCGGGATCGTAAATACCCCAATCATCCTACGAAGCGGGGTTGCTCGACCCAAAACGTGGTGGGTTCGGGACCCAAAGTGTCAAAATTGCAACTCAAATTCTCATATTGACCTACGATCCAAGTATCACAAAGTACAACCTTAATGGCTTAATCCCAAAGTATAGCCCCAAGTGGTCATTTCTATAACCAGTATGTTGTATTGGACCATGATCCATTTTAAAACTTTTACAATAAATATATAATATAAAATAACTGTTAGTTGATTATGTGCATTTGGATGTATAATTATGTATATCATCATATAATAATGAGAGGGATTTGGAAAAGAGTGACAAAACGAACCAAAACCCAAAATAGCATACCAGATCACACACTAAATTGACTCGCGATCCAGGTAATATTGATCCTTCCCTTGTTATTTATGTTGAAAAAAGGTGCATAAAACTGAAGCTGATTTAGAGTTGTTGTATGGTTTTATTTAGGAGTGGGGGACTATGGAATTATAAATTTTTGAGATAACGTGAGGTCGCAAAAATACATAAACGTGTATAAAAAAGTCCCAGATTTTTGACATGTTAGTGTAGTGACTGCAGTCTACCAGAAATATTTATGTTTTGCTGATTGGTTTGTATGAATGGAATTGTGCAGAGGATTCACTGACTCGTGAATCTGGATGCAAGGTGCACCATGCCAATATCCAAGCCTCAAAGGTGAATCTCATATCTGGATCGAAACACTTGTGTTCCGAATCAAGAATCAAATCGAACTGTGGTATACAGAAGGAAAAATAGTAAAATAAAACAAAAATGCGGTGAGATGCTGTTTAAAGTATTTCCCTGCACAATCAATTCAATTTCCCCTTTTTCTTATTTCTTTGCAGGCGGTGGCTGACATAATTCGGACTACGTTGGGTCCAAGATCTATGTTAAAGTTGCTTCTTGATGCTTCAGGAGGTGCTTATTTAATTCGATTGTATGATACTCTAGATTCGCCGTTCATTCATAATGACATGAAACAATTGTGATGAATTATATAGGATATGTGCTATAATTGCTTGATGGTGCTGGGGTATGTGCTTAATTTTTTGTATGATGTAGTTAGATGTTTCCAGCACTTCCATAAAGCAGATTATTCTTTCTGTAGAGCATTCCTAGTGGCATCTGAAGAAGTGTATAATAACTTTTTAAGGAAAGAAAGACCACACAAACAGAAACCAGAAAAATGATTTGCATTCAGAAAATAGGGGATTCACTGTAGTAGTACCAGTCCACCTTTCCTACTGTCCAGAGATGTTTTAAAATGTTTTGGTGTCCTAATAATAAAGCAAATAAGTGGAATTGGACCATTTTCCAATAAAACACACTATGCTCGTCCCAATATTCCATGCTACCCTTACTAAGGACAGAAGCATTCCAACATTTCCTAGCTTAAATAATTATACAAATTCAATNTTACTTTCAAGTGTAATTTTTTTTAACATAGTACATTCAAATACAAGTAATAATTAATATATATATATATGTCAACTTGATCACAACAAATTTTATAAATTTGACAAACACACGACTAATTAAACTCATCAAATTAAGCTNACGTTAGGATAAATGAATTTTAGGATTGCAAAAACTAGCTAAAAACCTGTTCTGCAGAAGATGAAACTTTGGGGAATAAATGTTTAATAGTTCAAGATTTACATATGATATTTCCGAGACNATGTTAGGATAAATGAATTTTAGGATTGCAAAAACTAGCTAAAAACCTGTTCTGCAGAAGATGGAACTTTGGGGAATAAATGTTTAATAGTTCAAGATTTACATATGATATTTCCGAGACCAAAGTGTAAGTGTGGATCTCAATCTTTTTCTCTCTATTTGGGTGAAAGGCAGTAATGTTTCAGAAATTGGCTTTTTCAAGTCATATCTTTATTACAATGGTGTCTGCCAAAAATGTGCTAGACATGAGTTGTATATATGCATGTATGTGTCCGCATGTTATTTTTATGTGACAGATTGAGGTACACAAATATCTGCTGTTCTGTAGAGGATCCGAAGTAGCAGAATAAGAGAGCTTTCAATTGTGTAGAGACGCCATTTTTTTTCGGAGTACATAATCAATTCCTTGTTTTGGTTATTGGTTGGATTTTTTGGGGACATGTAAATGGGTGTAGATACAGGGTGGGCTACATAAATCACGCTTATCTGTAGATTGGGGGCATCCTTTAGTGAAATTCATTTGCATATATTTTCTCCGGTTTATATTATATGTAACACTTCCATGTATAACTTTATCTTCTCTATGGATGGTAAGCTTTCCCTTTTTCTAACTTATTGTTTTTTTTCCCTTATTCTAACTTATTGTTTTTTTTCCCATATTCGTAAGGAGTTTGTCTGATTGTTTGCAGGAATTGTGGTCACAAATGATGGGAATGCCATTCTACGTGAGTTAGATTTGGCTCACCCAGCTGCGAAGGTATGGTTTGCATATTTTCTCTGTTAATGTGGATTTGGTGGGCCGTTATTCTTGATTTATATGTGCTACTTTCTTTAATCCATTTACTATAGTATGACATCTAGTCATATCTTTCTGCCCCCTGGTTTTGTGTAAATTTTACTCAAGCTTTCAACTGTATTTTGTCTTCAATATGTAATCTGACCTTTTGGTATTTTGGTGCTTAAACTAACAATGTTTTCTAATTCTTGGTTTTCAATATGTATTGACAGTCTATGATTGAATTAAGCCGAACACAAGATGAAGAAGTTGGTGATGGAACAACTTCAGTCATTGTTCTTGGTATGACCTTGCCTGTAACGTGTTTTCCACTTTCACCAATGTGCTAGCAAGTTATGTCTGAGTTTACGTTTTAAATTAGTTAGCCATGCATTTATGATGAACTTGATGAACCGATATTTTGTGTGTATTGGCTCTTAATTCATTTATACGTAGAAGAGATATAAAGATTTAAACTAGTCTAAGAGAATGATACCATCAGGAAGTGCATACAATAGCAAGTAGAGTACAGCTGTGATGATCATGGTTCTAGAGTACAGCTGTGATGATGATCATGGTTCTGGAGTATGCATGTGCTTGCACACTGTCTTGTTAGGGAGAGGATACGAGCATGGAAGGGAAGAGAAGAGAGAATTAACTTCCAAAATTCTTTCCTCTCCAGAATTTCTTCAATTTGAAAAATACAGAGAGAATAGGAATAAAGTAATAGCTGGAACATGTCTCTAGGCAACATACCTAACCCCTTAAATGTGGAGATTTTCCAAGAAGTATAACAATTTAGCCCTTTCATCTGAGGAATGAAACTAGGTATCACTGCTTCATAATTCCTTGTGAAAATAAATTTTTACTGCTTCATAGTCCTTTTTGAAAATAAATTTTTACGAAAGGGTTTACCCATTGTCTAGAGTGGGGTGTGTTACATTGTTCATTCGGTATTCTGTACAAATGATAGTATCTTTCAACTCATTACTGATTTCTTATTTGAAAATTTTGTTCAAGCTGGTGAGATGCTTCATGTTGCGGAAGCTTTCATTGACAAGAACTATCATCCTACAGTGATTTGCCGAGGTAATATGCCGGGAAGCTACTTATGTAACTAGTAAATAGAAAATACCTTTTGATGATTATATTCTGCTTTTGCAGCTTACAATAAAGCTCTTGAGGATGCTATTGCAGTGCTTGACAAGATTGCTATGACCATTGATGTTAATGATCGTAAGCTCTGGGAGTGCCCTTGTCATTTGACTGTTAAATCCTTCACACGTGTGAATGATATGTATTTCTGTGGACTGTTCTCTTAGAAAATTTTCTATATGATTGATTTTTAACTAAGAAAGTTTACTTTCTGAAGTCAAATGGTAGTAGAGAATAAACTCTTGATATGAAAAAAACCTAATTATTTTATGTGTCCCACTTTGTTAACTTAAGAAAAGGAAGGTATGTTGATTTCAATAACAATTAAGAAATGTCAAAATGAAGAATTTGCAGATAATGGGGAAGAAACTAAATTAATGTTCTCCATGGATGAGCAACTGTGAAAATGATTGGAGAAATCCTTATTTAACTTGTTTGGTTCTCAGTTTTGCTGAATTAATTGGAAATAATACTANAGCCCCTTAAATGTGGAGATTTTCCAAGAAGTATAACAATTTAGCCCTTTCATCTGAGGAATGAAACTAGGTATTACTGCTTCATAATTCCTTGTGAAAATAAATTTTTACTGCTTCATAGTCCTTTTTGAAAATAAATTTTTACGAAAGGGTTTACCCATTGTCTAGAGTGGGGTGTGTTACATTGTTCATTCGGTATTCTGTACAAATGATAGTATCTTTCAACTCATTACTGATTTCTTATTTGAAAATTTTGTTCAAGCTGGTGAGATGCTTCATGTTGCGGAAGCTTTCATTGACAAGAACTATCATCCTACAGTGATTTGCCGAGGTAATATGCCGGGAAGCTACTTATGTAACTAGTAAATAGAAAATACCTTTTGATGATTATATTCTGCTTTTGCAGCTTACAATAAAGCTCTTGAGGATGCTATTGCAGTGCTTGACAAGATTGCTATGACCATTGATGTTAATGATCGTAAGCTCTGGGAGTGCCCTTGTCATTTGACTGTTAAATCCTTCACACGTGTGAATGATATGTATTTCTGTGGACTGTTCTCTTAGAAAATTTTCTATATGATTGATTTTTAACTAAGAAAGTTTACTTTCTGAAGTCAAATGGTAGTAGAGAATAAACTCTTGATATGAAAAAAACCTAATTATTTTATGTGTCCCACTTTGTTAACTTAAGAAAAGGAAGGTATGTTGATTTCAATAACAATTAAGAAATGTCAAAATGAAGAATTTGCAGATAATGGGGAAGAAACTAAATTAATGTTCTCCATGGATGAGCAACTGTGAAAATGATTGGAGAAATCCTTATTTAACTTGTTTGGTTCTCAGTTTTGCTGAATTAATTGGAAATAATACTAAACTTCTTTGGGCAGGTATCACTATGTTGGGGTTAGTGAAGAGCTGTATAGGCACCAAATTTACTGGCCAATTTGGTGATCTGATTGCTGTAAGTATGTTCTTTATATTTGATTCCAAAGTTTTAATGTGCATATTCTAATGGACGTTTAAAAATGCATTTTTTTTTTGGTGTTTAACGAAAAAATTCAATTTGGTTGGCATTTCTTTATTTAAGATGTGTTTTTAAATAATACTATGTTTTGCAACTTATTCCTGCTGATTCTCTATCTTCAAGTTTTAAGTGGTTGGAAGCCCATTTAAAGAAGAATATGGCTTGCTGGATCTTTGTTTCCTTTGTTTCTTTTTTTTTTTTCTGGGTAAATGGCTATTTGTTTCCCCCAACATCCGATCTTTTTCATTTGTTCTAGTTTCTTCATGAATTTTGGTCTGATGCTGTAGTATTCAATTTAAATTTTACTGGTTCTCCTTGGTTTACTGCTAGGATTTAGCACTTGAAGCAACCACAACAGTTGGTGTTGATCTTGGCCAAGGTATACGAGAAGTGGACATTAAGAAGTACATAAAGGTTGAGAAAGTCCCTGGCGGCCAGTTGGAGGATTCCAAGGTTCTCAAAGGAGTTATGATCAACAAAGATGTTGTCGCCCCTGGCAAAATGAGGAGAAAAATTGTCAATCCTCGAATTATTCTACTTGATTGCCCTATCGAATACAAAAAAGGGGAGAGTCAGACAAATGCAGAGTTGGTCAGAGAAGAGGACTGGGGAGTCCTACTTAAAATGGAGGAAGAATACATTGAGAATCTCTGTGTGCAAATATTGAAGTTCAAACCCGACTTGGTCATAACGGAAAAAGGGATTAGTGATCTGGCATGCCATTTCTTTAGTAAAGCTGGAGTCAGTGCAATCAGGAGATTGAGGAAAACAGACAACAATAGAATTGCCAAGGCATGTGGGGCTGTCATTGTCAGCAGACCAGATGAACTTCAAGAATCAGATGTAGGAACTGGGGCTGGACTTTTTGAGGTCAAGAAGATTGGAGATGAGTTCTTTGCATTTATTGTTGAGTGCAGAGATCCTAAAGCATGCACTGTTCTTTTGCGAGGTGCTAGCAAGGATCTTTTGAATGAAGTTGAACGGAATTTGCAGGTACATGTGATGCAGTAATTACAAGTTTTTTACATATCAGGAATATATTGTCTGAAGCATCATTTCTGTTGACAGGATGCCATGTCTGTTGCCAGGAACATCATAAAGAATCCAAAACTTCTCCCTGGCGGTGGTGCTACAGAGTTAACTGTATCTGCTACACTGAAGCAAAAGAGCTCATCCATTGAAGGCATTGAAAAGGTAAATTTCACTTCCTTGTATGTCTCAACTTCGCCTGTATTTTAATCAGTTGTCCTTATTTGGTTGATCTAATTTTTCATAGACTAGGGACTTAGCTGATGTCCAATTTGTTATTTGACTGTGAAACAGTGGCCTTATGAAGCTGCTGCAGTAGCATTTGAGGCTATTCCACGTACTCTAGCACAAAATTGTGGTGTCAATGTCATTAGGACCATGACTGCCCTGCNACTATAATAGATATTTTAAATGAGTTTTTTAAATATGTAAATCCCATTGTTATCTAATTATATAAATCATGGTAATCACTCAGGCTGTCTAATTCTTCGTTATAATAGACAGAAATTTTGAAAAAAGGGTGTTTAGGAGAAAAATTAATTTGATTGCTGTGGACTTTTCATTTTTTTTAATAGAAAATTTGACAAGAGGTACTGATTGTTAGGAATCACGTAATAAAGATTAAATTAAAACAATCAAAAGTAATTGGGGTATTTCAAATTTGGAGGTATTCTTCAGGTGAGATTGATAATTAAGTTAAGTTATTCGGGTTCATTTTTATAAAATTTAATTGATTTATATGTAAAATAGTCGAGTTTTAGTTGGAGTTTAATTCAGTTGATTTTTTAAACGAGTCAAATTTAAATAATTTTTTAAATTTATTAAAAAAAAAAAAATAGTTCGATTGACACATTTTAAAGTCGCAAAGTTGAACTCGATTATCAATATTAACTTTAAGCATCAATGATATTTATACCTCATAAAATTGTTNTTAAAAAAAGAGTTCGATCGACACATTTTAAAGTCGCAAAGTTGAATTCGATTATCAATATTAACTTTAAGCATCAATGATATTTATACCTCATAAAATTGTTTAAGGGTGTCGTCGTGTAATACGATGTCATCTTCGTAATTTCTCTCTCATAGAGGGGCAACTACGTGACTTCGTAGAAGCCTAAACCCTAGAAAATCAGATCCCTCCGGATTCAGAAAACTTTGGGGTTTTTGGTTTAGTTGGGGTTCAGTTGCAGAAAACACCAACAAACTGCAATTCCCAGCGAAGCAGAAGCCTCCAACATCATGGAAAACAGTGAGACCAAATCTCAGACGAAGAACAAACGCAAAACAGAAACAAAGCATAAGAGAAAGCTTGAAGAAACTGAGCTTGAGGCGGTTGTAGAGTCCAAGAAAGAGAAGAAAAAGAAGAAAGAGAAGACAGAGAAAGAAGAAGGGAATTTGAACAACGGGTTGGTGATTGATTGTGTTAAAAACAGTGGGACCCTTAATGGGTCAGTTGAGATATCCAAACGGAAGAAAAAGAAGAAATATAACGAAGAGAAAGAGAAAGAGAGTTTGAATAATGGGTTGGTGTCTCATTCTGGCAAATTAGGCGACACCATTGATGGGTCTGTTCAGAAAGGTGGTGAAAACATTGGAACTGTTGACGGTGAGGTCAGAGAAAGCAATGAAGGTGTGGTGGTGTCTGGTAAGAATGTTAATGATTCGAAATATGGGCAATTGAAGTCGTTTGCAGAGTCGGGGCTGCCTGAGGAAGTCTTGGAATGCTGCAAGAATTTCGATAAGCCGTCACCAATTCAATCCCATTCTTGGCGTTTTCTTTTGGATGGTCGGGATTTTATTGGAATTGCAGCAACTGGGTCAGGTAGTTTCTCGTTGAGTTATATATTGACATCCTATTAAAGCAAGATTTGTGGTATGTGGATTGATTTTGTATCTTGATTTTTGTGATCAGGTAAAACATTGGCATATGGGATTCCGGCTATTATGCATGTATTAAACAAGAGAAGTGGAAAAACATCTAAGAGGGTGAATCCACTTTGCCTTGTACTGTCACCAACAAGGGAGCTAGCTCAGCAGGTTTTACCCCACCTTCATTTTTTGTAGTTCTTTGCTGGATTTCTACTTATATTCCCTGACTGTGCAGAGACTGACATTCAGATATTGAAATTTAAAGGTTTTCTTACATGGATGCCTAGAATTTTAAAATAGAAAAGGGGGTATAAATGCACTTGATTCACTGAGCTTCTTTCCTTTAAGAAATGAAAATGTGTGGATTACTAATTGTTCTTATTGGTATTGCTTACACAAAACTGGGNGTTTTCTTACATGGATGCCTAGAATTTTAAAATAGAAAAGGGGGTATAAATGCACTTGATTCACTGAGCTTCTTTCCTTTAAGATATGAAAATGTGTGGATTACTAATTGTTCTTATTGGTATTGCTTACACAAAACTGGGACATATTCATTATTATAGTCTTATAGAATGGAGTGGATATAATTCAAATTTAAGATGAATCTCAGTTCATAAAAAGCTCAGGATGTAGAGTTTACTAATCAAGAAAAAGGGAAAACAAGGCTAGTTTGGAAGATTCAGTCAAGAGTTTTATGGACAGAAGTTAGCATCAACTTTTCCTCATATGATTTGCATCGGCTTAAAGCCATTTTTCCTGAATTGTGGACAGATATGCCATAAATTTCTTTGTTCCTGCATATTCTCCAATTTGATATGCTTGCCAAGTTATTTAAAAGCTACTTATTAAAAGATATGACCAAATGATGATGCTTTGCACTGTCAGATTTCAGATGTCCTATGTGATGCTGGGAAGCATAGCGGTGTGAAGTCAGTTTGTTTATATGGAGGCACTTCTAAAGGGCCCCAGATATCTTCTCTAAAATCTGGTGTGGTAAGATCTGCTTTCAGACATTGTAAATGCATGACATGTTATACTTAATTTTGTGCCCCACTCGTGTTCATTTTTAATATCCCTCATAGGTCACTAGTATTATTTTTATTCCGCCCTTTATGAATCAGTCATGCTCCATCTGACAATGTACATGTTTAAGGTTCCATCATAGCATGAACATCTACTTGCTGCACCTCCTATTTTAATCGTATGCATCCTAACATGATCATTATCTGGTAAACTATATATATCTCTTAGGCTGTTGTGTCATTCTGTGTGAACGTATCTTTGAATGATCTATTCCACACTTTCGTTATGTGGTAAGAATTTTCTTTTAGACATTGTGAATGCATGGCATGTTTAACTTAATTGTATGTCCCACTCATGTTTTATTCTTAATATCCCGTGTTGGTCACTATTTTTATTTTTATTCTGCCCTTTGGTGATCGATCATACTCCATTATTGCCTAACGGCAATGTAGATGTTTAAGGTTAATAATAGCATGAACATTTACTTGCTGCACCTCCTGTTCTAATCGTATGCATCCTAACATGATCATTATCTGGTAAACTATATATATCTCTTAGGCTGTTGTGTCATTCTGTGTGAACGTATCTTTGAATGATCTATTCCACACTTTCGTTATGTGGTAAGAATTTTCTTTTAGACATTGTGAATGCATGGCATGTTTAACTTAATTGTATGTCCCACTCATGTTTTATTCTTAATATCCCGTGTTGGTCACTATTTTTATTTTTATTCTGCCCTTTGGTGATCGATCATACTCCATTATTGCCTAACGGCACTGTAGATGTTTAAGGTTAATAATAGCATGAACATTTACTTGCTGCACCTCCTGTTCTGTTCGCATGCATCCTAACATGATTATCGTTCAGCAAATTGTATATATCACGCTATTGTGTGTAAACTTATTTTTGAATAATCTAGTCCACATTTTTGTCATGCATTTCTAGACTGTTACATTAATTTTTCAATGCTTTGAATAGTGCAGTTTTGTACCCAACCTTTCTTTATTGTTTACTGATGCTGTTTGTTTGGTTTGCATTCTTCTTTTATAAGGATCCACTTACATATTTCTCTGAAATTTTTTCTCTTGATTTGCTTTTTCATTCCTCACATGCATGCCCTCCATTTCTTTTCTTAGGACATTGTTATTGGGACCCCTGGTCGTTTGAAGGACTTGATTGAAATGGGTGTGTGCTACCTGAAAGAGGTATCTTTCGTGGTGAGTATCTATATTCTTCTCATGTTGTTCCTTGTTCAAGTGTTGATAAATGTTTACATCTTCTTGTTATATTCTATTTATTTCCAGTTCGATTTTGATGCCAAAAAACAATATGTAAATATCCTCTTGGATGTTAAGTTTTTCCATTTATCCTTTTCTTTTCCTTTTTCAAACAAGCACGACCCACCACTGTCAGTACCATCCCAAGACCACCACTGCCACCACCACTGCAATGTGTAGCCTCTGATGCATCCTATTCTTGCTTCTCAAATTTATTCCACTAGCAACATTAATTTCTAATCTCTCTACAGTTTCCACCATTACACTACTAAACACAACCCCATCACCATCACCATCACCATCACCATCTATAGCTTGAAATGCTTTTTGTCTGTCCACTTTTTTTTTTTTTTGGGGAGGGGGGATGTCTTGGCTTATAAAATCTACTGCCAAAGACTAATTTTTGCTTTCTCTGTCACCTCCCCACTACCATCCCCACCACCATCCACCACTACCACTTCTATCACAACCCCGCAACCATCCATCACCACAATACAACGACTGCCCACCAACTAAAAAGTACGGACACTCAAAATTAGCTCACATGTCCGTTTGGACTTGTGAAAAAAGACTATCCTACTTTTTCTATTTTTTTTTTTTAACTTTCAAACGCGTGATGGACACATTTTAGACACGTTCGGGACGCACATGAATAAGTTTTTTGGATACGTTGGGTTATTNATTTTAGACACGTTCGGGACGCACATGAATAAGTTTTTTGGATACGTTGGGTTATTTTGTAATTTAATAAATAAAATAACGATTTTTGATAATGATTCTCTCTGTAGGTTTTAGATGAAGCTGATCGAATGCTTGACTTGGGATTTGAACCAGAAGTTCGCTCCATATTGAGCCAAACAAGTTCTGGTAGAGCACCTAATTTAATGTGTCTTTTCTCTATTATTTTGCTATTCCTTTTTTTCTTTTCTTGGATAGTTATTAAGACTAAGTTTTACACCTGGTAGCCCTAGCATTCTTGCCTAGCCTTGTATTTCTATTTGCACCTTTTGAGTATCTACAATAGATTTTTTTGGATGTGATTAGTAGATAGAACTGAAACCATTGTGGCCGCTGCTATAAATAACTAATTGATCTCAATAAGTTAATAGTCAATGCCTTTTCCTCTTTCAATTTTCTTTTCCATTTCTTCTCATTATTTTTTTATTGTGATTACAAGCCAAGCAGTTTTGTATATAATTTATTATACATATAATGCCCATGCTCTTTAAGATGAGAAGTAGGAAGGATTGGATGAACATTTTTTACTGTCGATTTTAATGAATTACTGTCTTCTTTTTCCTGTCTGTAGTTCAGATGTTTAGAGCAATAAAATTTATCAAATTAACTCGTAACTAAAGTAGTTTTTTCACTTAGTCTTCCAGAGGATAAAGTAAATCAATTTGGCCCTTTTATTTGTGAAAAATGGAAGAGATGGGTTCAAGATAAAACTAAGGTATAAAAGCTTCTTCAACTGAAGATTGTTTCTGTTTGAAGAAGCATATGGATATGAATATATTCTGAACCATATGGAAATGCATTTAAAAAGTGCATGATATCGTAGAAATGCCGGAACAATCTTATATAAAACTTACTTAGATGCAAAGATTGCTTATTTATTTTCACTCTGTAATAGGACATCAAGTGTTTGTTTCATTGTTTGACTATTGTAACGCTCTTTTAATCAACCTTTTCCACTGGCTTAACTGCCGGTCCCAGTTCATCATTTTATTGTGAAAATACTTCTCTCTATCTCTCTAGAGCAAATGATAATGAAAAATTCTATTAAAAAGATGCTTCACATAAACCATGGCAGCTATTCTATTTAGGTGGAATCAGGGCTTGGGTTTTGCCTTTGGTCTAGGTTGTTAAGGTCTGCACTTTGAACTTGCTTTTCTTCGCATCTTGGGTGTGGATATCTTGCAGACTACTAGTTGTGGCACAATATGTATGCTTTTTCTGTGGTTTAGCATTTTGTTTTTACAGTTCCAAGATGACCTTAATCTCACTATTGTGCCCTGAGAGTATAGAAACAGCACCTTGTTGTTCAATGGCAGCGATCACATTCAGTTCGAAAATAAAAGTTGCCAAAGGGTCTTATGGTGGTCCCAGCTTAGACATGTTTGTGTTTGGTACCTAAAGTGATATATTTTGGGTAGTTCCATTGTGTATTGTTTTATTTTGTACCACTTGATGCTGATTTGGCCACAGGAATGTATTATCACAGTCTATTTCTTTGATGTTTCAGGATAGTTATTGTTTTCTATAGGCTTGTGAGATTCTTCCTGTCTTGCTTGGTTACTTATAGTTTAGGTAACCTGACCTGTAATGTTTAGACAGCGTACCTTCAAAACAATTAAAAGAAGTCTTGCATGTAAATTTCTAGAGCCTTGTATTATTAACCAGTCAGTTTCCTGTTCTGTGATAATCTCCAAATCCTTTTTTTCCCCTCTGTTTTTTAGGTCCATATGTCATTTTATTGAACATTCTTTGTGTCAGGCATTTGAAAATTATATTTCACTTATGATTCAAACTGTTCTATGCAGCTCGCCAAATGGTAATGTTTAGCGCAACATGGCCTTTGCCTGTTCATCAGTTAGCTCAAGAATTCATGGATCCCTACCCGGTGAAGGTGTGGATCTTTGTCTGTGATGATAATATCTTCCTTCCACTTTCTTTACTTGAAAAATGAACTTCATTTCAGGTGGTTGTAGGTTCTGAGGATTTAGCTGCCAACCATGATGTCATGCAAATAGTGGAGGTATAATAACTAAGCAGCCTAAATGATAGGAGATACGTGTGACATCAGATGAGTACAATGTTTGTATGGATGTTAGTTTTTGTACTAATGCATCTTCTTACTTTTGTAGGTCCTGGATGATCGAGCACGTGATGAACGGTTGGTCTGTTTGCTAGAGAAATATCATAAATCTAGGAGGTACTCTCATTGATCTTGAGATTTCTCATCCCCTCTATCACATCCTGGAGGGTGTTTGATCAATATATCTTGCTTTTGTCTAATAGATTACTAAAGTGGACTCATTCTTTTGAATGTCTTCCTCTTCCCATGCATTCAGTTGTCTGAAGGTTTTAACTTTTTTTTTTGTGTGTTAATTGACATGATTGGAACTTCTTGCCAGTTCATTGGTTTAATCAATAGTGGATGATATGGTCTGGTATCCTCTATGTGCTTAATATGTCTAGAAGGAAAGAATTAGAAAAGTATAGTTAGCTTTGTTCATGTTTTTAGATTGACATTCCCTCGTTGGTGATACAGTGTTTTTTTTACCTTTGAACAGGAATAGAGTATTGGTTTTTGTTTTGTATAAGAAGGAAGCATCTCGAGTTGAAAATATGCTGGAAAGAAGGTGATATACCTTTAGTTTCTAGTCCCTCGTTGTTTGCGCAAGGCCATGAATTGCTACTATTTTATTGTCAATCAAACATCCAGGATTTGTTCATGAAGACTAAAATGTTGCACTCCGTTTTGTCTCTTCACTGAATATTTCAGACCTTTTGACCCCTTCTACTTGAAGTAGGTTGCTGAATTGTCCTTCCACGCTTATTTGCTTTCTGGTTTCTAGGGGTTGGAAAGTTGTTTCAATAAGTGGTGACAAAGCACAACATGCCCGTACAAAGGCACTATCACTATTTAAGGAAGGAAGCTGTCCTCTAATGGTATGTGATTGTTTTGGATGTAATATCATGATGATGTTATGCTACACATTTGAATATCTTGCAGGTTTTGTCTATTATACAGTACACACATGCTGCTGTTCTTTCCTTGTTTCCCGTGTTGATAAACTTTTGGCCATGTTTGGGACTTTTCTTTGTCAGCTTGTAGCTTTTCATCTAAAATAAGTTGGCCTGAGGCTGTTTGGTACTCCTGTTTGGGACAGTTATTGTGGGCCAACTTAATTGACAGTGTTTTTTACAACTTATGTCAGATTCTACAAAAAGAGGCTTATAGCACAATTAGCTATAATA